TCTTTCCGTCCATACAAATGACGGGGCACTACAGTTTCCTTACACATCCTTTCCAATTCATTATTCTGTTCGTAATAATATTCCTTTTTCTGTAATTTCTTTCGTTGGGTTGGACACCCCTTTTCCGTTACCATGTCAGGTAATATCACCCTGACCTCTATAGAGCCGATACTACCCCTAGGAGCTTCGCCACCGACGGGGCTTCTCCATTTCCAGGCCCTGAACTCCATGGGGTCACCCCCCCAGCTAAAGTCCCCCACGCCTAGTCCAAACCAGGATGTTTGTTGTTGTTCCATGCGCTCTGTCTCACGAGTCACCGCCTTGGCAACCAGATCTGGACACCCCTGTGCTTGCAAGAGTGGCCTTAGGTAATTTTTGGAATGCATTCTTGCGCGGAAGTGGCCTTTGATCACATTAGTGTAATAATGACCTACGCTGTAGGACGTGAAAATAAGCGCCTTTTGAATGTCAGTGTACTCCACAGAGTACGCCTTTCCAGGAATAGGTTTGAGTGTTCGTTGCTGAAAACACGATGACGTAAGTCCCACGAGGCAGTCGGTGCTGGACGTAATATTGTTGAAACGAAGTGACCATCGTTTCTCTACCTTTAGGGAATTACCATCAATGTCCCCAGGCAGTACCCACTTGTCCTGGTAAAAGTAGTTTTTAAAAGCGAGCCTCGTCTGAATAACATTTAAGTAATCAGTCCGTACCGCGAAGAAAACACAACTCTTCGCCATTGCGAAGATAAGTTTGACTTTGTTTAGGGAAATAATCGCTGTTTACTGTGAGAATCGACTGAATCACGTAACTGCAGAATGAAAACTGAGTGACTGTCAAAGCTGGTGGATGGTACGTATATTTACCGCCGGGTCTGAAAGGGTTAAGACATCGGTCGAGGACAGTGAGTTACGAATTTTATCATTATAAAGTTTAATTCCTTATCACGTGTTATTTCGACATTTTTCCAGACAGAATGACGTTCATAAGTAATGAGTTGATCTCTGAAATAACTCCAGACGGGTTTACAAATGTAATATGTGGTACTGATGTAATTTTGCGTGAGTATGAAGGTAAAGTATGGTTGTTAAACTTAATTAATAACCTGCCACGAAGACACACGAGGAGTGGAGGTATAACTCCACGAATTTTTAACGTCGGTTGTAGGTGAAATGGAGGTTAGGTTAATCCCCTGTCCGATTTACCCTTTTTTAAGTCCAGTATTGCATCGAACCAAGGAATATATGGCTGTAGAGCCGGTCTGGACGTTGTAGGGAAGAGAAAATTTAGTTCACACAAGAAAAACTAAGGTTGATGTGAAGAATCAAAAACGTGGTTTACGGAATTCATCAGATGTTTTGAAATTCTGATCTCTTATGGGGTTATTTATATGCCACGCCCTCGCCCGAAACCTCACACAAAATGGACTCTGAAGTTGGAATGAGGCTTCTTTTGATGACGAAGGAAAGAGAAAGCCAGTACGGAAGAAAGGATATAAAAGGGGACTCGTGGTAAAGGGGAATGACGAATAAAGAGGTGGGAGGAGTGGGGGGATTAATCGGACCGCGTCATGAAATTCCAAGAAAACTGTTTCAGCTCTAGTCTAGATATTGCGTGCATTACGCTCTTCATCGCAAGTCGGTTATTGGGGGTTGGAAGGGGTGGAATGGTAAGAAGGAACGAAGGAATTGTGCATTAGTACATGGTTGGGTGTGTCCCATCCTATTTTACAACCAAAGCGTTTCACTTCAGGAATGCGCTCCTCGTGAGTTGATACAGTGGCAAAAATTTCGTCAGAATTTTCGTTTCACTTAAACGCGCGGCCCAAAATAATGTGGCACTGAAGATGCAGGCAGTATGTTTCTCCGAAACGTCGTTGTGTACGTGATGTACACGCGGACTCTCACAGCCCACAAGACCAGAGTTTTTCCACATCTTTATTTCGTAAGAACACCAACTCTGGTTTCGTCTTTCATTTTTTAATCTCGTCGCCCTTGTGGAGTTGGGGCCCGGAACTTTCTCCGTGCATTAATTACTTTATTCACTTTGTTTTTCTCCGTCACTCGGCTAGCGTTCTGATAATTTATAATTAATTAGTTTCTGTTTGAATTCGAATGAGCTACAGAGAAGAGAGAGGAGATCGGGGTAGTGAGAGAGACTGCATTTAACGGGAGAAAGAGATTTTCGGCTGTGAAGGTTCCCAGACAGTACCCATTCGTCGTTCTGTTAAAGATAGTTTGGGGAGAATGCAATGCATTTGGACGTGGAACAGCGTCTTACTGCATTCGATCGGAATTTTGACTTTAACTTAGGGAGGGCGGCATTTGGTGAAATTTTGATGTTGTCGTTGGTAGGACTGCATGTGGGATATCCAGTGCGTGTGCCGAATTTGGATACCGATTTCGTATCTGCTCTAGGACCGCAGAAACCCACAGAAAACCTTAATCGAATTCGCTGTTGTTTTATTTTTTTACTCGGACAGGGAACTACCAACTTTAGGGTTGTTGGTTATCAGATTTATATAAATCGTTGTGTCATGTGTCATATGCGTCTTGGTACTTTTCGTTTCTTCAGGTTAGCTCATCCGGTAAGTTGTTGGAAGGGTCGAAGGTTGGTTGGGAAATTCCTCTCTCCATTTGCGGTTAATAACGTAAGTAAAGATTATCTTTCTGGCTAATCAGCACGGCACGCCTCTCCGCAATTAGCAGATTCCTTTCTGTGCACAGTGGTCAAGGAAATAACATCCGACCATGCCCTTGATCATTTAAAAGTATTGTGGTAACTATATGCACCACCCACTTTAAAACGTTTAGCGACGCACCATTGTGTTTCGTTTGATTATCGGAGTAAACGGCGATTATCTCCTTAAATAAGCGTTAACCGTTTGCGTCGGCTTATGTTCGTCGATTCGCACAGTGGGGTCACGTATTCGAACCCCGATCCAGATGTGTCTGAAATTCTCTGTATTGTTCTTTGTCTGTGGATAGTCCGAGCCCAGTAGGAAATAGAATAATGATGGATGAGTCTACCGACTTTTAGCGCTGGTCTCTGATGTAAATTCAATCTGAGCCCTTACTGTAGTTTCGGAGATAAATTGTACGGACGGACAGACAGACTCATCCTAATTACGGATTCAGTTTACGCGTTTCGTATCTTGAGCGTATGAAACGCTGGTTCTGGTAAACCTAACCTCCAGTCCTTGCGTTTGCTTGTCGTGTTGTCTGAAGCTGGTACTCCACTTTAGCATTTCGAGACCACTTCAGGGAGTGTGTAAGGTGAATGGCCTTAAATATATTCAGCTAATATGGCGACATGAAGCTTAGGGGGGGGGGGCGGTGATGGGGCTCGTAATATATACAGTCTGCCCCAAAAAGATATATATATACACACAGCCATTACATACGTAAGCATTGTGTATGCATATTTTTGGGATATCCTGTATTTGAATCCGTTTCTCCAGTAGCAGCATCCTCCTTCACGCCTGTCACGTGACTGGCAGTGAGATCGTTGTGTGAAGTCGATCTCCGCTGCAGATGAACATCAAAGTCTCTTAATAAACTGTGGCTGTCAGTGGTCCTTGTAGCTAATTCATATTTGATTAAAAATGACATAAATAACTTATATAGAATCATTAACAATTTAAACCCTGTTCTAACTAAATACACCACCTCATTTTTTTTCACAGGTAAGTTTTGTATAAACAGCGATTATTTCCTTAAACGGCGTTAACCAGTTGATCCATGTAATGGTGAAGAGTTGTGTTTTCTTCGCGGTACGGACTGAATTCTTAAATGTTATTTAGACGAGGTTTGTGTTTCATATGGTTAAAGGAGATACTTAACGCCGTGTTATTTATTAACTTGCGTCATACTGCGATGTCTTGTGTATATTTTATAAGTGCAGATAAAAATTGTTTTGCTCTCTGTGCATCCAGGTTGTTGGATGCCCACTGCTCGTTTTGAAGTCTTGCTTTTATTTAGTTATTCCTTCTTTGTCCTTGTAACGAGTTGTCTGTTGCGTGACCACTTGCCTCTCTCTGTCCTTCTTACCTCCGAGCTGGGGGTCTGCGGTCGTGGTTTGACTTCTGGAAGGTAGACAGACCAAAGTCCCTCTCCTTGTCGTGGCCTAAGGAAAAACTTCTTCCCGCCTGTCTCATATCGATACTAAGACGTGTTATCAGTTGCGAATCTTGTCTGAATAATATTAACTATTCAGTCCGTACCGCGAAGAAAACACAACTCTTCACCATTACATGGATCAACTGGTTAACGCCGTTTAAGGAAATAATCGATGTTTATTGTGAGAATCTATCACGAAACGCATAAATACGACATTAATTGTAATTGGTACATATAATTACGATTTAGCTTTAAAATATTGAAAATTTAGTACGTTGTAATATTTATCTTTGACGTTTGCACATTTCTTGTAGTGGACAGTTTTGTATGATCCTTGTGACCCATTATCAGACGTTAAATTCTATTTGCCACTTCGCAAATCGACTCCCCTCAGGCGAGCGGTTGACCTCATTTTGAAATAGTACTTAGGTGTATTGCCAATTACGAAACGTGTTTCATGTCTGCATGAATGAATCTATTGTAAGACGTGAGACGTTTGTTGGCTGTGACTTCAAAACCGACTCATTTGACCCCCACACACCCCCACCCCGCGAAATGACATCAAGTCGTGAACGATGATTTTGATTTTAGAAGCTCGGCGTATGACTTCGATTTGACTTTATTGCATAAAATGTTTTAACAGTGCCCGTGGCAAGGTTGGACTATATAGACCCGAATAATTGAATGATAGGTCTCAAAGTGAACGTATCATGTACGTTACTGTGCTAATGTTATGGGAGTACAGAACCGATTTGAACTAAATTTGGTGTGTGCGACTTATGTTGGGGTATCGAATAGTGATCCTTATCGATGTTTAGGCTCTGTGGAGCTTAAAAGAAACTTAATATAAAGTGACACGGCTCTTTGCTTAATCTGTTTCAGATGACAAGACGAAGGCAGATTAGGGTAGAGGTTTACCACATGAGAAGACCCTAACCGTAAGTCCTGCAAATGCATTAAACTAGAGGTATTTGCTCAAACACTTACTAATTGCTCGCGAAATGTCACTGGTATTGTCCAGCGTCTGCCCCAACTTCCTAATGATGAGTTTCAGATTTGGAGACCTTTTAAGCCGAAGCTCGTATTAAATAATATTTAAGAATCCAGGCCGTACCGCGGAGAAAACACCACACTTCACCATTACGAAGATCAGCTGGTTAACGCTGTTTAAGGAAATAATCCCGGTTTATAGTGAGGATCATAGTTCGTCTGATTAATATTTAAGAATCCAGTCCGTACCGCGAAGAAAACACAACGCCTCACCGTTACGAAGATTATCTGGTTGACGCTGATTAAGGAAATAATCCTTGTTTACATAAGTATATAATGCGAGATTATTGATTGTTTTTAAGTAGATGGGGCATGTAATTACAGTTGGGCTTTTACAGGGTTGAACAAAATGGCAGATTCCGTGTTTAGTAAGGCGGTGTAGTATTTGGTGTTACTAAGATTGTGATCCGACTATACGCTTATGAATTTCTGTGACTCATATCAAAATAAACATGGCGGTTCTTGAGTACGTTAGCCGACGAAATTACTCTAAATTGTTGCCCTGATACGGTTCCTGACTTTGTGCCAATGTACTTGAGGTATCTGCAACGAGAACTGGTTTCTGTGGACAGACAGAAAACCAAGGTTTCGGATGGTCGACAAGTTGGCAGTCTCTGTATGCACGGCGACTCGAAAGCTTGCACAGAGAAGGAATCTTTTCAGTGTACGTTGGGTTGGCTGTGGTGCGTGGCTGCATACTTCATGTTACGTACTTAAGTCTGAGTTTACGTGGACTTTCAAGGAGAAAAAAAAACTGACTGTGACTTCCTGCCTCAGTCCGTCAGTGGATCGTGAGACTTCTAGGTTGAGATGAAGCCATTGAAGTCTCTGAATTCGTCTGTTAAAATTGCTTCATATGTCTTGAACCAAAGGGCAAGATTTAAATCGTGACGATTGGAAATATTCAACCCCCAGAGGCGTCCATTCGAGTCCCGAAGCTCTAACCTTTGTCTCGGACTGAGGTTAATAAGTTAAGTCTGTGGTACTTAAGCGTAGGACAAGCTTTTTGTATCCGGACGGATGTAACAAGTGGTTTTTGAGCTGGCTACCGACTTATCGCCACCCTCGACATTTGAAGTTGTGGCTGTTTACAAAAAATGTCTGCATTTTTACTCGAAAATATTATCTAGCAGGTCTGTAGTGAAGTGTCCCGCTGTGTTAAGTTGATTCTTGATTATTCTGTACGCCACTTTGTTCATTTGAACAACATGTTTCGAATCAGTGTGGTCATCATCAGGTTCAGTTCCCTGTTTCTATGTCATTGCACTAAGAATCTCCTTCCAGATTTCCAGAAACTGTGATAAATTATTTATTAAAATGTTTTTAATTTGGTTATAACGGTTAAAAGTCAAAATGCGAAAAGAGATTGTAAAAAAAAATGTTTTTAGCGCGGAATGGCGAGTCCCGGTGTGTTTTCTGTGAGTTGTGGTCGTTGTGGAATGTTAATCGTTATAGAATAATGATTGTCTCGTAAGGCCCAAATTTCCTTGAGAGCAAATATATAACCAATATTTGCTTTTTGTGTAGGTATTATTAATTGGCTGTCAGACAGAAAATCAGCCTGGATTGGATGTCGTTCTGTAATATGACGGAACATTGACACGGAATAGCAAATCCTATTGTAACATTTCAAGCTCAGTCTGGCTATTATTCGAGTAAATATTTGATTTAATTCTATCGCGAATGTGAAATTCGCGTGGATTTTATCAGCTCCGAAATACGTCCTCGTGTGTTATAATGCAAGTTGTCACCACTGTATAAAACTCAGGCTGTTATAATAAAGTTTTGTTTGTTCTGACATGTATTCGAATTGTAATTGTTGTAGATATCCGACGCTTCGGATAATGCGAGTAATTTACTGGATCTTTGTTTGAATTGGATTTGAAACAATTGTTACGTCAAGCACTGGATGGCGGAGTTGACAAATTATGTAGCTCCTCGCCTAATTTCCTACAACATTTCAGCAACATCTAGATATTTTTCGGAATTCGCATTTTCTTGTCAACAATGCGCTGCCGTGCAGTAGGCAATTTCTATTGATAATGGACGTAAAATCCCATTTAAAAAGGGTTTATATTTACTCGAGTTTGTGGAGTTCATTGTTGCTTATAGCGGGTCGTGATTTTCAATTGTTTGTTTCTCGCGTTGTGCACCGTTTTCCACGTCGTTCGGATGGCGTCTTAAGGCAGTTTCTTTAAAAGTGTATCTAATTCTGCTTTGCTTAGAATTTCCAGAAGTCCTTGAGTGGTTTTGTGAGCTTTTATATTCGCAGCTGCTCGAACCAATTGTCTTTTTTGCGAAGATTTCGAAATGAAATTATTTCCGTGGTAACAGAACAGATAACTTCAATTGTTGATAGATTGCGTAACATAACTTCTGTGCCGGTTTCTGTCAATCATCGTATAATCTGAGAATCGAAATGCCAACATTGTTAAGCGAAATTTCTCGCGAATAAAATGAAAAGAAGTTTGTTGTTTCTTCGTACATTTGAGTTTGATAATTTATATTTGACGATGAAGACACATTTTTCTAAAACACCTTCTTGCAGCCAAAGTCGTGGATGCGATATTGTAACTGGCTAACGCTCTTGAAAAGGGAAATTATCGCTGTTTATTGTGAAAATCACGAAAAAGCCTACAAATACAAAACGCAGACCCAGTCATTGGCAAAGCCGATGGTACAGATAGTTACCACTGGGCGATAAAGTTGTTAATTGTGCGTCGATACCTCAGGCGGCGTGTTTCTTTTGAATTTTCGTCCTAAATTGGCGTACTGTGGTCACGTAACTATTGATTGTAAGATTACAACATGTGCGGAATAATTAGACAAACTGGGGAGGGGGAGATCACACTCGTAGATGAAATCGTGTGGGGCAGTGACCATTGCCAGGAACAGCACACGGAGGAAATCGAGCACGGGAAATGGAAAAGAACCATTTTGTGTTATGTAAAAACCAGTTCGTGTTTGTTGGTCTGTTTGTGACGAACGAATGAGGGGGGAGGCCATTGATTTTTTTTATGGAGGTTCCAAGGCGGTGACCACTCGTCTTTCCGGTAAAGGAAGTTTGAAGGTACGAAAGTGTAGTGAATAAGGGATGAAAATGTGAAAGAAATCTCTGGTTTTATTTTTCTGGTGATATAATAAGAATGTACACCGGAGATGTTAAATTTGTTAGGTATCTTTATGTACACTGAAAGGATATATATCGCATTTAATAATAATAATAAGTTGAAAAAATTAAAATAATTTTAACGTAGTGCCTGTGGAAAATTCAACGTGAAATCTCCCAGTGTTACATTAAATGTTAATGTTTTTTTTTATTAAATGCAATTTATTTGTGATATTTATTTAAGCTTCAAACGCCTATTAGGGTGGGGGGGCTCCAATATATTTTTTTTTTTTTTTGCAATTCTGCTACGTGCTGTATCTACCAGTTAAATACTTCTTTATTTTATCAACTATTAATCTCGTCAGATAAGCAAGAAAGCTAAAGGGGAAAGGACCCCCTATATAGTAAGTTGACCTGCACACGTAAATAATAGACCCGTTCATTTGTTACACATTCTGTAGAATCGATATTGACTATTCCCGTGGAAGTTTCTTGCAATGGCGGTAGGTTTTAAGATCTTGGGTGGAGACAGAATTGTCTATTTGGAGGCTTAGAGGGGTGTGTGGCAGTGGTGGGTTAAGTTGTGTTTGCTGGGAGTAGGTGTGCCAGCCAGCCAGCGAGCGAGCCTTCGTTCCTTGAATTCGCTTTGCCGTTCTGCGACAATTAATCATTGGAAGACGTGAGGAGAGCTGTTGGCCTGGTCTCTGGCTATAGAACATAGAGGAAAGGACAGTCTAGTCGGAGTGGGCATAGAACACGAAGCTTCAGGAAAGAATTCTCTGTGCTCCGTAGGTTTCAGGGATACGAACCATAGTTATTCTGTGTGATGCTGCCTGTTAACACGCACAGCTGATATTCACATGACCGATAATGGTGACACGCATCGGTCGATGGAGATGCAGGTTGGCGACCTTAATAACATCAGTTACGTGCTTTAGCTTAAACTGTCCGCTTGTAACACCTAATGACTGTTATTGGGATCAGAGGGTTGATAGAATAGTTTCAGAATTCAAGAAGAAAGACTTGTTAACATGTTTAAAACATCTTTACTATGTCAATGTTACAGCTGTTCTTGCCAAAGGACCTCCTTCAATTGATTTCGTGGAGCAAAGGTCTTATCGAGAAATTTCCCGGCCTTGTATGCATCCTGGAAGTTCATCACCGTGTTCGCAACAGCCCACCACCGATGTCTATCCCGAGTCAGATAAATCCCCTTCACCTATTTTAATGCCCGCTCATCGACGCCAAGGTCTTCCAGGTGAACTCTTTCCTTCAGGGAGTTGGTGTGTAAAAACTGGTATCTGTTTCCATGGCTCTTTATGTCAAGGATTAGGAAGGAAACAAGTTTTTTTGTGAGATTCGTAACAGGCACTTTACCACCAGAAATTTCGCCACACATATGTTCGGTTGTCGTTAATGCAAAGCCGAGTAGACATGTAAAATTCTCGGGCTCTGCTGCTCTCTGATACAAGCCTGTGGGATCTCTTTTTATAGCTAGGCGTGCGCCTGTCATACGTTCACCGAGTTAAGGATCAGGTTTGGTCGATGCTCGTACAGACAGGTGACCTTGCTGTGATACATTCACTTCTTGCAATTTCGTGTCGCCTTTTCCAGACAGCAAGACAAAGGTGTTTCGCCCGTTAATGGGAGAGATGAGAGGATGAAATAAGGTATGAAGCAACAAAGATAATAATCCCGGCTAGTGGTAACGGTCTGCTTGAACACCCTGTGCCTTTGGAGTTTACCCACGCAATTCTATTTGCGTGTTTCTTATGATTC